TTGTGTGTGTGTGACCTGCGCGGCCCATGTGGACGTTTGAACGTGCAGCCCTGTGCTCTCAGAAACAAGGCCTGGCATCTGACGTTCGGATCTGTACCCAAGCAGGGAAGGGGGTGTTGGGCTCTGCCGGTAGGGTTCAGGTAGGGTTGACGTGAGAAGCTGGTCACAGGGAAGCAAGTTCTTCTTAGTCTCCAGCAGCACCCCGGGATGGGGAGGTTGCCAGAAGCCGCAGAGTGAGGGGCCTGCGTGCTTTTACTCCGGAGTTTGGACTTTGGGTATCAAGCCGTTTGTCCCTCAGGGCAGATAGTGACTTGCCTTTGCTTCTCCCAGCCTGTGCATCCTGCTTCCCCATGAACCCAGAGATGCTCCTCTCGCCTCTGCACCTCCCTCGCAGCCAGGTCAGCGCTGTGCGCTCTGGGCCTGCCCCCTACCTGCTGAGCATCCCGGCTCTCCCAGCAGATAGCTGACTAGGGGATCACCAACACTGAGGCTTGGCGATGGCTCAGCAGCTGCTGGGCTGGGGGCTCTCTGCTCCACCGTGGCAGCGGACGGCCGGGCTTTCGGGGTCCCCCCACGGCCAGCGGAGGTGGCCGGGAGTGCAGACACTGCAGCAGGAATGTCAAGGCCCCAGTCTTGATTTCTCTCCAATCTAGTTGCATTGCAAGGGCAGGTACTTAATCTCCTAGCGCCTCCATTTTCCTCAATGTCAAGTGGGAACTAATGAGAACACCTAACTTAGAGAGTTGCGACGATTAAATCGGTTGATCCATATAAAGCCTTTACAATCATGTCTGGTGCATAATAAGTGCTCAAGAAAGACTCTTCATTATTCTTCACTGAATGTCAACCAGCCACCCAGATGTCTAGTAGGTAGAGCCTCCGTGGCTGACCTCTGACCCCTCAGCCCCATCACCCTCTCTTTTGATTGCAGCCTTCTAGGCTGGGGAAAAAGGAAGGACAGAGCCCTGTCCCCTCTTCCTCCCCCCCCCCTTGGGGCTACAATTAACAAATGATAACAGCTCAGGTTCAACTCAATTAGGACAAGACCCCAAAGCAGATGCTGCTTATGTGTAGAGGACAGAGTAAAAGAATTGACTCCAGAAGGCTTGGGACGCACTCATAGAGGATGCTAATTGGTTTCTTGCTGATAATTTTTCACCCCTAAGTGAACAAGAAAGAAGGTGTCTCAGAGGCTCATCTGCTTTGCAGGGGACCAGGCAAATGAATGTCTGTGTCCAGGGAGAGGTGAAGATTGTCCTTTTTTCTCTCTCCAAAGGGAATCTAATCTCATTTGTCCCAGGCAAAGATTTAATTCCTGGCAGGTCTGCTGAGCTGGCAAGGGATAAAGGTCGCCTCCAAAATGGAGGCTCTGAGTCTTGTACACTCTTGGGAATTCCTAGGGTCCCAGAGGCTTGGGTTGAGTTGATAAGTCATTTTGTCACCAGGGATTTTAGAGTGAAGAATGGGGATGAAACACTAGCCTCAGAGACTATAAGAAGCTTGGCTGTCAGTGGGAGGGGCGGGGTTGAACAACAGACAAGTATCCATATAAATCACGCCCCTTTAGAACTCTTTCTGTGTCTTGCATTATATGTCTTCTGTTGCAGTGTCTTGATGGACTGGATGAACCCAACTACATGACAGTGACCTTGAGGGGAGTGCCCTTGTCTTATATATAACATTAGCAAACACCAATCACTTAGTACATACATGTCAGGCACTGTTCTATTTGCTTAACCTGTATTAACCCATCAAATCCTCAGGCAGGGGTTACATACAGTTGGAACCAGGAAGCCTGATAGACTCCTAAATATCTGTTCTCCTTGTATCTCCAAACTCTAACACAGTACGGCCTTAAGGTATTCTATTGACCTATTAATCCCAAAGTACAAAGAAAGCACTGTCGTTGATGCCATGTGCATATTATACTAAGTGCTCCACAAACACATGCTAAGGAATTGACTAGCCACACGCTCTGCCAAGATGACCGGCATAGAGCTGTGGTCCTATAACAGAGGACACTACCCACCTGGAGAGAACTCTAGGAAGAGCGAGAAAGCCATCCACGCTAGCTGCCTCACCCACTGGGGGCTGCAGATTGATCTCTGAGCTTTATCTTGGCTCCCTCACTTGGGACAGTTGAGTCTACTCTGACATCATCCCTCCTGTCCATTCTTGTCACTGCCTCCATTCTATTACTGGTTACCTCTCCCCCAGTTAACAAATTAATGACACTTCTCATCTCCCATCTTTCTAAAAGCCAAACCACCCTTACATCCTGTTCATCTTTCCAAAATACAATTCCAATCAAGTGGAAACTCTGCATTACCCCATGCCTTCCAGATCCAGTCAAATCTTCAGCCCAGCCCTCTGGGCCTTCCACACTGGCCATGGGAACACAGCCATAGAGCCCCCTTCCTTGCTTCCCGCTGACCCTCACGTGGACCACTCCCCCGGCTCAAACAGACTTTTGCATATTCGTATCTTATCCCAGAGCTGTCCAACCGACTGTCCCCTGGCTTTTGGCATCTCTGCATTCCCGGAGGAAGGATGGGACAGAAGGATCACCTTCAAAGTCAAACAGATCTGATGTAAATCCCTGCCCTGTCATTGATGGTTGCAGGAACTTGAGGAATTTAGTCTCTCTGAGTCTTAGATTCCTTATCAGGAAGAGAAAAAGAATGCCAACCACCTTGCAGGTTGTTGAGAGATTCGAGTTAATTCACTTGGTCCATTCATCTAGTGTCTGTTGAACACGCCTATATGGCAGGCATGATTGTAGGCACTGGAGACACAATGATGAACAAAACATGGAGCTTGCCTTCTAGGGAGGGTGGAGGGGACACGCGAACCAATAAAACCAAGTGTACGTCAGGTGCCCACGGCATGCTGAGCACACAGTCGTCTCTCAATAAATGATAATGGTTTTTCCTTTCAAATATTTCAAAAGGCCTAATAACAGATGTACATTTTTCTACCTGACATAACATGGGACACAAATGTCAAGTTTCGCTGGTTTCAACCATCAGACTCAGAGAGTTCCCTGAAGGAAGGGCCGTATCTTCTCTATCGATGTACAGTGAGTGTATTCCAAGTACCAAGCACAGCACTTCACACAAAGAAGGTGGTAAATACTGTTTGGTGAATAATCGTTGGCTAATGTGTGATGATCAGGAACCTTAATCAACAGTTTTGCTGTCTTTAATTATAAATAGCAAAATGTATTACTCAGTGAATCCACTTTGATGGGCAAAATCTTTCAAATGTGGGGCCATTGCCAAAAGGAAAGGTATAGGCCTCACAACCATAGTTCTCTGAAAGCCCTTCTCATCTATCTTCGTTTGCTGATATGCTCTCTTCCCTTTGAGATCCTTGGCTCCTTATCCATGACACTTTTTCAGATTCCATCCCTCATATGTGTGTCTCCCCGTGATGAACTGCCAAGACTCCTTGCACCTCTCTTCAACATGTAAGCTTCAGGGGTACCTGGGTGGCTCAGTTGGTCAAGTGCCCGACTCTTGATCTCAGCTCAGGTCTTGATCTCAGGGTCGTGAGTTCAAGCCCTGCATTGGGCTCTGTGCTGGGCGAGGAGCCTACTAAAAAACAAAACAAACAGGGGCACCTGGGTGGCTCAGTCGTTGGGCATCTGCCTTCGGCTCAGGTCATGATCCCGGGGTTCTGGGATCGAGCCCCGCATCGGGCTCCCTGCTCCGCGGGAAGCCTGCTTCTCCCTCTCCCACTCCCCCTGCTTGTGTTCCTGCTCTGTGTCTCTCTCTGTCAAATAAATAAATAAAACCTTAAAAAAAGTAATGTAATCTTCATAGCATAGTCATTGGAGGGTTAGTTTTGTGCCACCTAGAGGCTACAAACTCTTTGAAGACCCAGAACAGCTTTTACCTCAAAGCAAGCAGCAAAATATCTTGCTTCTGGAAAATACGACTGTCACTGTCACATTGTCATTGACTAGCCCAGTGTCTTCTCTACCTCCATGGCGGTTCTCACTCCCACCACCCCGCAGCCCAGACCTCTCTCTTCTTGCAGAACCAGACTAGCTGGACCACATAGACCAGTCCTACAGCTTCAACAATGGGAGCAGCTCTCTATGCAAACTAACTGCAAAATATTATGTTGTTCAGGATGTGGGCTCTGAGTCAGACTAAGGAGGTTCCAATGTTAACCCTACAGTCATCTCACTCTCTTTCTCTCTCTCAAATAAATAAAATCTTTTAAAAAGCCAGGGGTGGGTGGGGGGTGTGCACCTGCGTGGCTCAGTCGATTAAGCATCTGCCTTTGGCTCAGGCCATGATCCCAGGGTCCTGGGATCGAGCCCCACGTCTGGCTCTCTGCTCTCCCTCTCCCTCTGCCCCTCCCCCTGCTTGTGCTCCCCCTCTCTTTCTCTCTCTCTCTCAAATATATAAATAAAATCTTAAAAAAAAAAACAAAAATCTACAGTCATCTCTTACTGTGACCTTGGGGAATGTATTTTACTTCTCTGGGCCCCAGTTTCTTCACCTGTAAAATGGGAAAAAGAAACAGGAGGCCTTATTTTATAAGGTTATTTGAAGGATTAAAGGAGATAACATGTAAAAATTCATACCAGGCTAGTACAAGCACTTGGGAAATGCTAACTGTAATTCAAGAGCATCAAAAAGGCCACAAGCCCCAAATGTCGTTCACCACCAGCTTGCTGGTGCCTAAACTCCACATGGTTAAGATTGTGGGCTGAGAGGCAGACTACTTTGGTTCAAAACCTGCTTCCTCACTTACGAGCAGCGTAGCTTTGGGGAAGTCTCTAAAGCTGAGACTTCATTTCCTCCTCTTCAAAATGGGGGTGATGCTGATTATGCACTCCCTCTTAAGGACATCGTGAGGATCCAGTAAGTGAATACACGTAAACTGTTTAGGATGGTGCTGCCACATCGGAAATGCCCAATAAATATTAGAATTCATGGTAGAGGTACCACAGCTTCACCCCACTGCTGAAGGTTTTGTCCATTTGTTCACACCAAGGCTGAGAGAATCTCCGCGTTCTGGCATTCCACTTCACCCACCACGATGATGGTCTTCATCTCCACTCTTATTAGATCCATGTAGCAGGAGACTGAGTGCACAGGTGACTAAGACATCACTCCTGCCCTCCAGGAGCTTGTGACCCGGTCCACAACCGGTAAGAATTAGGGAGCGACGTGCACTTTGCAACACACTTTCTCAATTACAGTTCTGTGCTTGTTCACAACTCTGGAAAACGGGTGTTACCCGTCCCTTCTGTAATTGAAGAGAGGGGTTTGGTCAGTGTAAGTGACTCGCAAAGGTCACAGGGCTAGTGAGTGGCCAAGCCAGAATGAGAACGTGTGCCCCACCTGCAGCCATGCTTGCTGCCCCCAGAGAATGGATTTCCGTCCATGGGAGGGGACCAAGGACGTGGGATTCCTGCGGAGCAAGGAGACTGGGGAGGTCTGTCACAAGTTCCTGCTACTTACCCGCCAGCCTCCTCCGTGGAAGGTAAGTGATGGCTTTCATGCAAACGGCCTCCAGGCAGATGCTGGGAGAGCACAAGGGAAAGGCCTGGCCTGCGGGACTCCCTTCCTTGGATGAGTGGCCTCTCCTCCTCCCTGTCTCCCCCATTCCAGTTTTGTCAAAGGGCAATTAAGCCCCTCGCTCCTGTCTGAGGAGGCTGCCTTTGTCATTAGGGTCCCATCCTCCTCCTCCTCCTCGCATCGCGGATAATGAGGCCTCCCCTAATTAGAGTTTTACAGTCACCTACAATTAGGCCCCTTTAAGGCTTTTGAATAGGATACTTTTAACCTATTTTGCCTTGTAATTGGGGCATCTATCCAGGTGTACGCACATAGGAAGCAGGCACTGGTAAGGGTAGAGAATAAAGGAGTCAGGTCAAAACATGTATAACATATGCACGCATACACAGTTACATATATACACACACGCACATGCGTGTATTCATACGCACACATGCCATACGCAGGACCGCACGCTTGCTGAGCATGTGCATGGTGCACAAAGATTCGTGGCTGCCTTTGTGTGTGTGCTTGGGCTCCGGGGTGGTAAGGGAGAACATTTGGCTGTGTGTTTACTGTTCAAAGTGTGCATGTGGAAGGAAGGTGTGTGGGGGCAGAGGGTTCTCGTTGTGTGTGAGTGTGTTAAGGGAAGGGAGCGGGGAAGCAGGAAATTGTCACTGAGTGCCTACTATCTCTTTCCAAGAAAGGAATTTATTTTTAATAGATAATACATGTACATGGATTCAAAAGGTACAAAAGAGGTCAGTGAAAAGAATGAGATCTCCCTTCCACCCTTGCCCCCAGTCAGCCAGTTCTCTTCCCAAAAGGGGATCTTCTACCAGAGATATGCTATGTCTACACAGCAGATATTTATAAATACCTTTTTTGTAACTGAGTAATAGTTAAATGTACTCATTGTTCTGAACCTTGCTCTTTCTATTTAAAAATAGATGTTGTCTGTTATTGTTGTTCTGGGCAGTGTTCCACATCTCTATAGAAAGAGCTTTTTTTTAATATCTTTTTAATGACTATATCGTATCTTGTTTTCATACCATTATCATTTAATTAGCAATACTCTTGTGAAGTGGATCTGTTTCTTCCCATTTAAAAAAACACATTTTTTCTCTCATCTTCCGCCTAAGGAAGCTTAGTTTGCTCTTAAGCATGTTCACCAGAGCAGCTCGGGGAATTGCAGACCCTGAGAATCCAAGGTGGGGCTGGAGGAGGGCAGAGGAGTTGGACGAGAGACCCAGAGGAGCTGCCTTGGGGAGTGTGGGGCTGCCTGTATGGTCTGCAGTCTGGGATGCTAGAGATTAGCAGGGCCTGGGATGTCCCTGCTTGGTTCTAATGCCCTAGGGTAGCCTTTCAGACCCTGGACATTTACTGAGTGATAATACAGTGATCTATTAGTGATATATTGTGACATAATCAACTACCCTGAAACTTAGTGGCTTACAACACTGAAAATCATTTATTTTCTCTCATGGTTTCTGTGAGGCAAGAATGCAGGAGCAGCTTGGTTCGGTGGTTTGGGCTCAGGATCCCTTGTGAGGCTGCAGTCGGGATGTTGACCAGGGCTGCCTCATCTGAAGGCTCGGCCAGGGCTGGCAGATGCACTCCTGACGTGGTTCACCCACATGGTTGGCAACTGGTACTGGCTTCTACCTGGAGGTCTTCATTCCTCTCCACAGTGATGCTTGAGTGTCTAAAGTCGTTTTTTATTGCTGCTCAATAAACCACCACAAACTTAGTAGCTTGAAACAGCCCCCATTTATTATCTCCCAATTCTGTAACCAAAAGTTTAGGCAGGCTCAATTGGGTTCTCTGCTTAAGGTCTTACAAAGCCAAAATCAAGGTGCCAGCAGGTCTGGGCTCTTCTCTGGAAGCTCTGGGAAAGAATCTGCTTCCAAACTCATTCAGGTGTTGGCAGAATTGCTTCTTGCATTCCTCTAGGGCTGAGCTCCCCATTTGCTTGCTGGCTGTCAGCTGAGGGTGGCTCCCAGCTTTAGAGGCCACTCGTAAGCTCAGCTAAGTTATAATAATGAATCAGTCCTTCTCATGCTTTGAATCTGTCTGATGCCTTCTTCTGCCCCCAGCTGGAAAAAACTCTCTAGACTCATATGATTGGGGCCCTTGGGTGGCTCGGTCGGTTAAGTGTCTGACTCTTGATTTCAGCTCAGGTCATGATCTCAGGGTTGTGAGATTGAGCCCTTGTTGGGCTCTGAGCTGGGCATGGAGCCTGCTTAAGATTCTCTGTCTCAAACCATGAGAGACTATGGACTCTGAGAAACAAACTGGGGGTTCTAGAAGGGAGCGGGGTGGGGGGATGGGTTAGCCTGGTG